GAGCTCTGTACAGTAGAATTATGAGATTCACAAAACACAAAAGAACATCTTTAATTTAGCTAGCCATTTGATAAGGCAACTTGTACAAGGCTTCTTGAGATCAAAGCATGAAGTACCAGTAAAGCTAACAAATTATACTAAGTGATTTACAGAAACAAGTACCAAGATGCAATTTTCCAGTCATTATATTTCACAAGAAAAAAAAAAAGAATTTTGTAAACCACCACAGAGGGAATGTTAAAGTCAACACAGATACTCAGAATGCTGAGTTGTTTTCCTATTGGGTGAAAGGAAATGAAAACTATGGTGAAAATGTCAGGCCAAAAAAAAATAGAATTCTGTAAGAAAAGTGTTATTTGATGAGTGTAATGAAGGATAACAAACAACCACATCAGGTTTACAGCTGTAGATGATATGAACACATACCCACGAGCGGGACTTCACTTTGAGAGTTTAATGATCATCTCAGAGGAAAGGACCCACCATAAGCAACCTGTAGTGCATGCTCCGTGCATGCTCCGGAGCAGAGATGGCCCTTATATGATTTTTACTTCCAAGAAGGTGTTACTTTTAACTGCAACGTATGGCACAGATGAGAATCGCATTGGCACTACAGAGTTTAAGATCCTTGCAAAGAACATGTTCAACAATGAAGCTAAGGATGAGTGTCAACAAATGTTACTGTACACAGCCGACAGCAGTTTGGTTGGCGTAAAAGGACCAAAGGCCTCCGTTGTAGCTTAAAAAAAATGGGAAAATTAGTTTTTCCCTTACCAAAGGATTTCCTGCAGGGACTATTTATAAAGACATGTTAAATATAATTGAAAAAAATATTTCCATCAACTTTTAAACAATAGCTTTACCTTTCCATGAGATAAGTATTTCTATAAAGGTTTTATATGCAATCAAAAATGTTACAAATGCATTTGCATCTCTTCATCTAGGGGTACCAAGGGCACATTTTTAGGAAGCTACAGAAATCAGAAAAACTTGCCTAACATTAAACTAAGATGATATGAAGCTGACCTCTGTTTCCCACTTCATAACTTTAACAAAGTTACGGTATATTAGTGTTTCTTTAGCAAGTATATGTCAACATTAAATGAAATACTCTGTCTCTGGTCCTATATTCCAGTCTAAGCACAATGGCTGTTCCTGGGTCTTTCTAGGCTTCTCTGGTGAAGGTTCCCTAAAGATGCAACACACAGAGTCCACTCCTGACTCTGTTTGCCGGAAGTCACAGCTTTCATACTTGGGAACTTACAGTTCCTGTGTGGAGTTCTTAAGACGACCTGTTAGAATACCAGGCCCCAAAGGATTTATTTCATCCTGCGTTTATGAAAATCAGTTCCTTTTATCTGGTTGGTGTTCTCAATAGCCTATCTAATTCCACGGTTCTTGGCACTTCATCTCCAGATCTCCCCAACAGAAAACAAAAATAAACTCATTCTCTTTGGGAATTGTTCAATCCCAAGTCTGTTCTTTCTTTTAAATGGGATCATCACTATCCAGGGAATCACTTTCAGGAAGAAACCTGCCTGACAGGGGTCACGACTGGCCCCACAGTGTGCTTTATCTAAATAAATCCTGAAAAGTTAAGAGGTTTAGGTTTCAATCTTTTTTTTTTTCTGTGACAAATATCTCCCTATCACTTCAACCTTGGAATAAAAGACACCTCCATTTTTATGCTAAGATAAAAATAATTATGGGTAATTAGTTCTAAGTAAAAAGTGTTTAGTTCTGAATTACTGATTTCCAACCAAACATCAGGCATAGAAAATGATGTATAATAATACTATGATGGATCTGAACATGGCCTTCCATGAAGAAGCTCAGAGACAGGTATTCAACATAAATCAGCTTAGTTTAAAGAACATCCCTTTGAAAAGTGTCATACGAGAAAGAGTGAGAGTTACTGAAAGAGTCTGGCTTGCTTTCTGGCCTCCTTTACTTCCCTTCAAAGGGACGCCAGGGACAAGCCTCCTGGGCTTCCGGCGCTCTGATTCTTGTGCTCTTGTGCTCGGGCGAGGCGGGAACTATGTGCTCTCCTTGGGCGGCTGGGCGGCCTGTGGCACCTGCAGCGGCTGCGTGCCCGTGGCCGTTTTGATCGAGTTCAGGGTTTTGCTAAACCAAGAGTTTTTTGCAGCTTGGATTTCATTCATAAGGGCTCCTCTCTGATGTTCAAGTTCCTAATTAAAGAAAGAAAATCATCTGAGTTACATAAATGTTATCTCTCTGCCAAAAAAAAGATTAGCTTATAGCTTTTTGGAATCCACCGGTCTCTCTACAGCCATGGTTTTCTTCCTACAAAACCCAGGAGAGATTTAGTTGGCTTCTTAATGTAAAAAAAAAAAAAAAGTGTACAGTTAAAAGTTACCACAAAAACCCAGAATCTTTGCTTTCTGTGAACAGTAAGATGAAACCTCATTTTACCATTTCTTCCCCCTGCAGTTTAGGCCCAAATCTAGGTTTAGGGTGCAACCTGAGATAACGGGTTTAGAACCACAAATGAACATAAACGTGTGGATGGAATGAATTTTTACTGATAGTGTGAGCAAGCATGAGTTCCAAACACACGAGCCTCTGCCCCTGAGAACGTGTAAGGTCCAGCACAGGAGCAGTTAAGGGTCATTACGGGAGCGCAGCTGGTGCCACCCCAGGCAGGACACCGCTGAGGGGAAGTGTCACTGATAAAGAGGAAAGGGGACAGTCCCTCAGAAGCCAGGAGTGTTTTTCTAATTCCATCGTCCTCCAATATGGAAAGAGATTATGGGGAAAGGGATTTGGCAAAATCAGGTAAAGATGAAAAGAAGCTCCACAGGAGAGAATGGGAGTCAGCCAACATTCCGAGGTCGGGGGGAGGTCACAGAAGGGGTCTGCTCTTTCAACTTTCAGGCTCAGCTGCCAAAGGGAGCAATGAGAAAGGACCGAGGCAAAAGAAAAGTCTCAGGGTAAACTAAAACAGCATACGCTTAAGTTCTCACAAGACATAATCTTAATTATTAAATTGTTTAAAAGTATGTGTTTGTTTATATCAGTGTTTAAAAATGATGCCACGAAATGCAGCTCTGCAGGACTCGTTAGTGGGCAGAAAATGTCCTCGTCATACACGGTAGCATCCTGTGATTCTGAGCTCGACAGGTGTATCCTACGGCACTAGCCTACCCCAGACCACTCGCTGCTCATTTTTTTCTTATTGATCTTTTGTCCAACCACCAACCTGGATTTTACACTTGGCCTCTACCAGCTGCAGTTTGGTTTGTGCCAATTCCAGCTCCATCTCCCTCAGCTGCTTCTTAAGAGAGTCCTTCTCATCATCCGATTCACTTCCCTGGTCCTCTCTGCTTATGGTCGCTACTTTCAAAGCACCCTCCTTGCTGAAAATGTCACTGCAGTGTTTGCATGCCATCATCTTGCCCTGAAATTATTTCAGAGAGAGAACCAACATCAGACTGTATTTCACAGCATGAATCACTTCCTGAAATGATACGATATGATTTTTATTTAGACACTGCTTGTTGTCAATAGATGCAGGCCCATTTATGAAGGTAATTATTCTTCTTGTCCTGCAGCCAAAATGGTTATAGTCGGCACAAAACCCAACTATCCAAGACAGGTGCACCTTTTTCTTAAAGTGTCTCCACAGAAACCCTGGGAATAGAAAGTGTTACAGCCTTTCTTTGAAGTCTGTTCTAGAAATTTTATACCACCATTATTCTTTCTTTTTCTTTTTCTTTACTTGAAGTACAGTTAATTACAATGTGTCTACCTCTAGTGTACAGCACAATGTCTCAGTCATGCATATATATACACATATTCGTTTTCATATTTTCCATTAAAGGTTGTTACAAAATACTGAACATAGTTCCTTGTGGTGTACGAAAGAAACTTGCATTATTCTTACTAGATGCTAAGCCCCATGCCAAATGCTCCACGTGCATTATCTCATTTAATCCTAGAGCAACTGTATGATTATGTACTATTATCACGCCCATTTTTTAAATGAAGAAACTTAAGAGTTTAAGTAACTTGCCTGTGGTGGACTGAGGAAGGTCATTATGACTAACCTAAATCTACCCTTGCAACAAATAAAGTAGAAGTCCTTTTGTTCGGCTTTAAGCAAAGATGATCATTATATTGTTCAAGATAATAAAAGTAAAAACTCTGCCACATGCTTGGATCTCCCATCAGGCACACAGCACTGAACAGCAGCAACTCTTTTCTAGACAAGAGGGCTACTGTTTTCTTAAAATACCTCCAAAGGGTTTAGAGATAAGAAATATTACAGAATGTTTCTATTCTGATGTCCTACCATTACAAGCTCAGTGTGTCTACAACCGTAAGTACACCCCTCTCTTCACACACACAGAGCTCTCCCCACTTCTATGTCACTGTTCATTATTACACCATTCGGGCCTCAAGACTCTGGTGTCATCTCTCCATTGACTTCTCCTTCGCTCCATAGTCAGCTGGTCATTAAATTCTTGCTCTGACATGTCCAAGCCTGTCTCCCAGGCCTGAATCCTGAGAAGTCCCCTTCTCAGAGCAAGGTTTACATGGCTCAGATGTTCAGGTTGTAACTTATAAAAAATATGTATTTATTATGCATTTACTGTGTGCCAAGTACCAAACTAAGCATTTTATGAACATTATCATATATAACCTTCAAAATGACCTTATGAGGGAGGTAATACTCTATTTTACAGAATGCAAAATAAACCCGAGAGAGGTTAAATCACTTGTTAAGTCGTTAAATGAAATGCTCAAGTGCCTAGAACGCATTTATATACTAGTATAAACCTGAATATACAGGTTTCTGTAGCCCTGGTCCCAGAGTTGGCTGTGCCAACACTGCTTCTTAAGAATACCAATCCTTTTGGTTTATTGCTGTCTCTCTACAGAATAAGCAATCGCCTTTTTCAAATAGAAAAGCGACATAAGGAGTTTTACCACCAGGGGGCAGCATATCAATAAATGCTGCAGGTTTTCTTTAAAAACAAATTTCTAAAAATGTGGCGGAAGAAGCAGTTACCCAACGCGTTTTCCCCAGCCGAGTTCTATGCTGCCAGTGGTGCTGACTTTTTAAGAGAGCGATGGAGTGATGCTACCGGGTTGCACGCTGAAGTCATGTCAATCCAGGCACAGCTGGGGATGCATGCAGGCTGCTGAGGGTTCCCAGGTTTCCAACATTCAAGAAAGCTCAAGGGCCTCTTGGGACAAGGCTGAAATCCTACCTACTTCCCTGTTGCCTGTCTCCCACAGCCCATACGATGTACGGGAACACAAACTTTCATCTGGCTCACACCCCAGTTCTTAATTTCTAAATCCTTTAAGGCAAAGGTGAGGTGGGGCCGTGTCTGCAGGCTGCCCTGCTGTGGGGCAGGCAGCACATATTGGGGGTCCTCCTCTCGGGGACTCACGTAAGACTATGTGAATGCAAGACACCGTATCACAGACCTGTTTCATTCTTCCTCACCTTTACCACCTCCAGCTCCTCCTTGCTGGCTGCTTGCTGTTTCTCCAGTCTGGTACTCAACTGGGAACAGATCTAAGGGGAAGAAAAGAGTTTCTTTACTAGAAATAGAACGGCTCTTGCGGCGTGCAACCCACTTCCATATTACTCTAGCGTCTCTGATGCTAGGAGAAATTCTGCAAGTAAGAAGCACAGCAAATGCCAGTCACTCCTGCAGTGAGCAGCAGGAAGCCTGAGAGCGTTCCACGTGTAAAGCACACCTCTGTCTCCACCAGCAGGAAAAACACACGGGGTAGATTTGATTTCCTTCTGTCACTAGCCTTCGTGACTGGTTCCAGTGAGCTCTTGTCCTCACTTTGGGATCAATCTATAGAATCTTTGCAGAATATCTACTTTGGGCAAGGTACTATGCTAGGAGCCTGATGAAAAGAATTCTGAACTAGAAATATCTCCTGTCTACAGCTACAGAGTTTCTGTTGTCAGCTACAAAAGTTTCCCTAGGAAGTGGCAGAGTGAATTTTTAGAAAGTTAGAATGACCAGAAAATAATGAAGACTTAAAACTGTATTCAAGTGGTTTGGCAACACAGCGTAACATGAAAAGCCTGAAGTCCAGCCCTGTTACTTTCTAGCATTGTGCCCTGGGTCCTCGGGCACATTCACTAATCTTTCTAAGCCTCAGTTTGCTCGTGACTGAAAAGCGCTGTGCTGCGCTAACCAATGGGAAAACGATACATAAAGGGCTCAGTACCGCGCCTGGCTGATGGTGCTCACTTAACAGCATCTCATCACTATTGGCTCTGAAATTAAGGTGTTAACAAGTATCAAGAACCGGTAAGAAAAGACTGCTTTCAAAGCCCCTAAAAAATGTTTTTAAAAAAAATACCTAAGTTCAAGGCTTGCTAAACTTGAGTGAAACAAGAATCTTTTATTTTGGAAAAGGGAATAAAAAAGTTAAAAGATGTCAAATTTTAAGTACAATCTGGACTAAAATCATAAAAGGTCTATCTCTTATTATCAAGACGATCATTAAAGAAAAATCCCAGTCTACTGGGAAATAGTTCTAGGGACCAGGGGCTACTTGCTGAGCTGTCTCCAGTGTCTCCAGCTCGGAGCCTGGAAACACTAAATAGGACTGTACTGGCTGGTGTTAAAAGGAAGAGACTGCAAACCATATACCCTTTTAAGTGAACCCAAACATTCCGAAATCTAGTCAATAATTGCTAATTCCAACTACAAAATGCACTTAGATTATGTTTTATGTTTAATTCTCTTTAAAGAGATGGGTCTGTTGCCTTTTACATTACTTGAAGTGCTTGCCAGACAACATCCAAGAGCAGTTCCAAGGACTGCTACCTGGGCAGTGCTGCGTCTGGCGGCCACCCACGGCCCCGGGGGCTGCTGGAAAACACGCACCAGCCAGGACGGCGAGTTCCCCGGCACGTGGCCTTCAACGTTACTTGTGCTGGCTGATGCCTGACCACCCCTTCTCCTCGTTACCCAAATTCAAAACCTCAGGATCGCTTTCAGTGCTTTCCCTTCTCTAACAGAGAAATGACTCTTGTGTCTCCTGCTCCTCCGTTTTCATTACTACTTATTTGACTTCAGGGCCCTATTTTTTCTCACCTGGACTCTGCTGTGGGCCCCTTGCTGCTCTGTGTCTTTGCATCTCCCCACTTGAGTCCCTGCTTCTCACTGGGACAGAGTGCCAGTTATATGTCCCTGGTCATGCCACTTTCCTCCGGAATAAAATCCAGGCCCCTCAGCCTCTCCCTGAAGACCTTCCTTGAGCTGGGCTCCAAGTCACCTCTGTACTCAAAACTCTTGCCACACGAAACTGCCTGTCGCTAGCCTGCCTCCCATGCCTTGGCGCATGCTCTTTCCCCCTTTCCACCCTCTCCTCCTCCATCTCCAGATCCCCAACCTCACCTCATCTTTGAAGCACAACCCAAATCACCCCTTCTTTCAGGAAGGGATTCCTCATTTCCCACATATAATAAATTCCCTTTTCTCTTATTTATGGGCAGGATTCACCTCCCCATTCCAAGATTAGCTTTCAGAGGAGAGAAACTGAATGAATTCACCTTTTCCCCCAAAGTACCAAGCCTCACATGTAGCAGGCATTAAATACACGTGTATCAATTATCATAAAAGAGAGTAAGACAGCTCTGAAGCATTATTTCTAAGCAATCTTCCATAAAGGGACAGAATCCTTATGGAAAGAGGTTCATAACATACAAAATGAGCCAGTTCCCCAAAAAGCACGAACAGCATTGTTGACAATATTTACATAGGAACAGTGCATCCTCAGTATATTATGATTATTCCTAGTTGGCAAGATTAAGGGAGATTTCTTTTCTTTGTGCTTTTCTGCACTTTGTTAATTTTCCACAAGGAACATAAGTTTCATTTATAAGCAGAAAAACATATATATACTTTTTTTTAAAGTAAGCATTAGACTTTGAACCCCTCTGTGAGGCAGGAGACCCCAGGGAAATTTCTGGATCAGTAGGAAGCATACGGCGCCTTAATAATTCTAGAAAACTGGAACTTGAACAGTCCGGTTAGGGTCTTGAGCAACAAGAGTAGTCACAGACATGTCCCAGCATGGCTGGCAGGGACAGGAGGACACCACTGGAGCTGGAATGAGGGCTTTCTGGGACCCTCCGGTGTTGGGACCAGAAGCATCCTCAAGGAGAGGAAGCACCCATTGAAAGATCACTTTAAGGTTCACAACAGGGGGTATCTTACTAGCACTGGCCTCTGTCGGGTAAGGCCATATGGCCACGAGGGGAAAAGGGATCCCATGTTCTCTGCTGTGACAGCAAAGGACACTGGGATCTCCTAGCTTTCGCCATTTAATACAATCACTAAACTTTAGTCCCTTGGGAAAGTGGCAAATATTACTAGTGTGATCTGTTGGAAATTAGCTTCTGAGTAGGGCAGAGACAGGATCCCAGTGGTAATAAGATCCCTTGTTCCTCTAAATCTATCACACACTGTAAATAACCAGCAGATTGCTTTGCTCAGTTAAACTTTCCGTGTTATCAGCGAGCATGTCCAACCCCTGTCTCTTTCAGAGGAGAAAATAAGCCAACAGATTTATTCAGCGCAGTGCAGTCACCGTTCTGGAACCTCTGAAAACAAACAAGCAACATCTCCCCAAAGAAAAACAGCAAAACAATTACTTTCATAGCGACAAAGCCCACGGCGGCACATTACCTGCTTATACTCAGCAATGATCGCCGTGGTCTTCTTTATTTCATATTCTGCCTTCTCTAGCTGTTTCCTGAAGACTTCTTTTAGCTAGAAAGAGTAAGAATGAGAAACACCAAGACCCAGTCAAAATCTTAATAAATTTCCACGCACATCCATATTCAACTCTGCCTGATTCACAGTCAACAATGTAAACAACTCAACTGTATAGTTTTCCCACTGAAGATGCGTGTTGATCATCTGGAAAACATAATCATCTCCAGAGATACAGAAATCTTACTTTCTTCTTTCTTTCCTATAATGTGTAAGACACGTGAGCAATCCTACTGTAAAACTGCTTATGCTTACTGCTTCATAACTACATGGTTGCATGAGTGTCCACTCAGAAGCTGTCTTCATCCTTGTGAGAGTCTAAAACAAAACATCAGGGCAACATGGCACATACTCTGATGCTCTGTGATAAATTACTGAGATAAGATGTGGGGCCACCTTCTTCATGGTCCCCTATGGACACTGCTGTTACATCTCTGGGGGCAGGAACAGGAGGCTTTGGGGACTGAAGTCAGAAAAGGATGGAGGAAGATAAGAATTCGAGGTGAGGAGATTCAGGGACTTAAAAAACAGCGACTTTCGAAGAACACATAATGTAGGTACTTGGTACAGGCACAGATATACTAAATTATAAATGCTAAACTGAAAACCACAGTTATTTCTGTGGTCTGGCAGCTCTAGAATTCTAGGTATAGAAAAAGGTTAAGGCAATAAAAAAGCTCAGGGGCCACCAGATAAAAAAGAAAGGATTCAATTCTCCCAAGTTGTTGACCAAACAAACAGAACTCTGGTTAATCTTTAAATAATCAGGAAAAAAACCCAGGGGATTTCTGCTCTGCAGCGTCTCAGATGATGACTGGCGTATACTCCACACAGATTCACAAATTACTGCAATTTACACGTGGTCTTTTGATTATTAGATTTCTGAATCCCTTCATGTTTGCTACATTCTACAATTCTAAGAGCAATTTGTAGGTTATACTGATTCAAACTTAGTTGTTTGTATTGATCTCTGTTCTCTGTCTCACATAGTTCAAGGATGTCAACCATACCCTCCCCGCCTCCTGAGATAAGGCCCCACTGACTCAGGGCAGACTTAGCTGGGGCTTTGAGCAGATTCACTTAATTTCTGTAAGCTGTGGTTTACTCATCTGATAAATGAGGAGAATTATCTCTATCTCAAAAGGGAACCACAACAATTGAAACAGGATATACACACATACACACACACACACACACACACACACAGGACGGGGGTGGGGGTGTGAAGCATGGATTAATTTCATTTGCTAATAGCTTCATTCTTTACCTAAAGTACTGAAGCGGGCCCCAAAAAAGCAGGACGTAAAGAAACAAGCAAAACCCTCAGAGGACCTGGAGCAAACTGGATAATCAGCCCCTGAAAATTTTTGAGTACGTAAAAAGAAAATAATCTTGATCCTGGGTAATCGCCAAGACTCATTTCATCATTTTTCAAAAGAATAAATAAATAAAAATCATGGGATACTTTTTATAAACCCCGGAAGGTGCTAAACGACACCTCTCTTCACTGGTAACATTATGGGAACTTTTCCTGGTTGCTTGGATGTCGGTCTTTGAAATGCACTGCGTTCTGTTTTATATTTAGTAATATTGATGTCTCTGAATGAAACTCATTAAAGTAAATGAGCTGATCATGCCGGGCCCCGGCTGGCTGAGATGGAGAACATGGGTGAGGCGGCCCGCTCCTCCTCAGGGAAGCGGGAAGCTTGGACTCCTTGGGCCCAGAGCCCCCTCCTGTCACCTCTCGGGCTCCTTGGCAATGGCAGAGTCCTCCAGCTGACCAGCCTCACATGCCACCTGAAGACTGTAGGTGCTAACTCCAACGCTGGTCCCCAAGACGTTCTTTTTATTCTCCCAGGGAGTAAGACTGGAGCGCTCTGCCAGGAGCGACGATGCTCCCTCTTCTAAGGCATGAATCAGGGAAATTAAATGGGACTGACGGAGGCAACGCCCAGCAGAGATCTGTGCAGGCTTTCAGTTAACAACCCTCAGAAACCACTTCAGGGAAATCAGTTATCTTGGAGATACGACACGAAATCTGCAGATCTGTCAAAGCTCCTGGATCACGATTCCGAGTTCCTAAACTTAGAGAAAATTTAACAGTCTTGCTGAGACATCTCAGTAAAGGCAAATTCCTAAAACCTGTTCAAGGGTAGAAATGCTGCCTCCTCTTCGAATACTCTTCCAGAGAAATGACTCAGTGCTACTCACGTGTACGGCTTCAACATCACCCTTGGTTTAGAATGAATTTAACTGTACTTCTTGTGTATAGTATTAATCGGCATCGCGCACCGATCCACCTGCATAAAGACGAGCCTGTTACCTGCGCCGTCTCCTCCTCTTGCTTCCTCTTCTCTTCCTCAGTCTCCACCAGCCTCTGCTTGGTCAAGAGGAGCTCCTTATTCAGCACGTCTGCCTTGTCCTCTGCCTGCAAACCAGAGCGCATGGCAACCGTAAAGAAGGTGAAGGAAGTGTGTGCACACGCTCCCCGACCTCCGGCTCTTACTGTCCCAACATTCCCAGAAGCCTTTCTCCCTCTCGCTCCCCCAGGGGGTGGCTGCTTTCACTGAATGCCAATGAGGTACTGGGCACTTGGCACACATCATGCTAATCCTCACGACAAAAATTATTTCCCAGATAACGGTCAGGAGGTTTGGAGAGATTAAATAACCTGGCTGGGAAACATGTCTAAGATCAGAGCCTCGATCTTGATTCAGATTCAAGTGGCACCAGAGCCCGGGCTCCTTCTAAAGGCTTCCTCCACCTTCTCAGAAGTCACAACAGCTCTCACTCTGAGACTGTGTGACGGACTGGATGATGGGGTGGAGCCTCATATGGAAGCTTCTGACTGGTGGTGCATAGGGTGGGTTCAGAGAAGACAAGCAGAGGGTGACCATGGACCACAGTTAGGTGAGAAGATTCTAAGACCAGCTGAGGTTACCTGGCCCATCGGGCTGCTCACAACAGCAGTGAGAACAGTAAGGAGAAATTAAGACCAAAAGACGCATGAGACAGCCAGCCATGAGGAAAACTGAAGGATGTCCCAGGAATCCAGGCAGAAAAGACCAGATTCCCAGAATGGCCAAGAAAAGTTAGGAAAGAGTACTCTGCTCATAATTTGGATACAGAACCAAAATTCACTACGGAAGCACTCGTGTGTGCAACTTAGTTATTAACACGTGAGCGTGTCACACTTGAGGGCCCTTACCTCACACTTCAAGTTCACTTCTGCAGTGCAGCGCGGTCTGAGCCCCGTCCCACTCACCCCATCTATGTCAGTCCCCCACCCCATCTACACTCAGATTTCCCTTGATAACACGATCTGTAATGACACACTGCGCGATTTATTTGCCTTGCCCACTCAACTTCAAGCTCTGTGGGGCAAGAACCCTCTCTCCTTTGTTCATCGCTGTATCATACCCCCAGTCCTGGGCACAGAGCAGGTGCACCACAGCTATTCAGTGGGTGAAGGGATGTGCTTCTCCAAGTCACGGAGAAGGAGACCGGGCAGAGGGGGCCCAGATGAGTTCAGCAGGGAAACTAGTGACACAGGAGAGGCAGCTATCTGAAGAAGCCATCCCTGGCCGACAGCAGCAAAACGCTGTCCAAGTAGTTGTGAAAACTGGCCAGGTGGCCTTCTGTCTGTGTTTCGCCGTATGTCCCGCGTGTCCAGATGGCCAGGCCAGCGCAGTCTGCTGAGTCCTGGCAGAGAAACTGCATTCGAGCTTCCCTGTTCTGTCTTTCAGCTCCTGAGACCCCACATCCCAGTGCTCAGAGCTCTGCTTTCAGATACTTTGGAACCGTCGGGTAGTGAGAGTGAAAAAGTCCCTTTTAAAGACTCTAAAATTTGGTCTGATACATTAGATTTTAGGGAGTAAATCTACACAGCAAAAAGGCACCCTAAAAGTAGAGGTGGGCATCAAAAAATGCAACATGTTGCAAGTCAAGTTTTAATAAACTGTAGATAGCTGATGTAGATGATGGAAACCCAAAACTGTGAACTCCAGAGCGTCAAGCAAGATGACAATTCACTCACGGAGTGGGAGATCCTCCCCAAAGTCTCTCACGGACGGTCTTCGTGTGGCGAATCAAGAGCAGCTGTCCTGACGGCTTCAGTGTTCTTAAAAATCTTACCAAGCCTGTCCCCCTATAACGGCAGCCCCCTGGTTAAAGTTCCACCCCAGAACATCTGAGCAACAGCCCTGCTAAAAAAGAAGGCTGCAATTTAACCTCCCCTTGGCGCACCCTCAGCAATTTCCATTTTTTGAAGAGAACAGTCCTTTTCTAATACACATCATGACACTCCGAAACAAAAGTTCTCTAAGTTTGGTCTTGAGGAGAGATTCACCCAAACTATGAGCCTTCTGTAAGCTTCTGAACAGTCGATGCCATCCTGACATTCAGTAACAAGCTTCTGGGATTCTAGAAAGCGTCTAGGTGTTGTATAGTTTTAGAAATGTCTGTAAAAAACAAAAAAAAAAAAGAGGAAAAAAACCTCACTTCCCTTAAAACATTTTTAACAAACACTTGAGTATTTATGATGAGAGGACCTATTAGTTTTATTTATACATTTTCTGTTGCTCATGCTTTACTCAGCCACGGTAGGGCAAACTTCTTCTGTCTCTGTTTCCAGCATCTGCAGACATGGGTCCACGTGGGTCCCGCATCGGAGGAGTCCCAGGAAGGAGCCCCCGGAATTTCTCCTCCAGGCTGACCAGCGAAGTCGGAGTAATTCTTTCGCTCATCAAAACAGAACCAGATCTGAATCAACCTGGTTCTCCTTCTAAAAATGGGCTTCTGGGTCTCTGTACAGGCAACCTCTCTACCTCACTTGAGTAGAAATCATCTTTAATGTTACCGGACTCTCCAGGAACATAATACTAAACAGATTAGATCCTCAAATTCCATCCTGGAACTCAAATTATAAAACCCTCACGGTAATTTGATGAGACGGAGGAGGCCACTGTCATTACTGCCTTCTCATCACTTACCGACATCTTATAATGCCTTACTGATATGAAAACTTCTGCTTCCTAACACTGCCATGACACTCACACGAGAGAAACACGCACTGCAGTTTGTGATTAAGTCATGAGCCAATGGAGAACCTGCTCAGAAAGGCCGAGCTCCAACATCAAGGCTGAGGGCTTTCAGAAGAGATTTCTCAAAGTCGCCAAGCCAGCTGTTCCACTTACAACAGAACAGAAGACGGTGCCCCTCACGCTGCACGCGCCCCGCGTGGTCAGGAGGGGGGCCCGGCTGCAGCGGGAAACGGTGGGAAGAAAAAGAACGGGAAGGGCCTGGAAGCAGGGAGCAGCAGAGACTGCGATGGAGACGTTGTATCTTTTTTCACTTCCAAACCCTGAGGAGTCCTTACTTAAAGAGTCTGAGGGAGGGCAAGTTGTCAGAAGAGAAGGCTCTGTCCCAGAGAAAAGGGACGAGCCGCTGGCGCCCAGGGAGCCTGAAGCCAGCGCTGAACAGCAAGGGTCAGAGACCACTTACTTCTCCAAAGTACCTCTTCCCTAATTAGTGCTTGTTTGCTTTACATATTGTCTCACATACAGTCTGCTTCCATGTTTGTTTAATGTTTGCCAACATTTTGCTATTTTAATCGAGAGATCTGATTTTGATAAACTGGGAATGGAGAAGTCGTGGGCAGACTGGGTGAAGGCGGGCGAAGCGGCCCTTCCGCCCTCAGGTGAGGCCCTTCCTTGAGGGCCAGGGGCAGGACACCTGAACCGTGGGACAGTTGTGACGGGCAGATAAACCCGCCTCTGCAGAAACTGCAGAGTCAGATGTGAGGACAGGAGGTGCATGAAATAGCAATTTTCACTCTTTCATCTTCATAATAAGCTTCAACAGGCAGGAGCCAGGTCTTAACTACTTTTTTAAAAAGAGAGAAGTACGGAGGGTAGAAATAAAAGAGAAGGAACACTGGAGGTCGTCATTCTAAGTGAGGTAAGCCAGGAAGAGAAGGAAGAATGTATGCTGTCACTTACACGTGGAATCTAAAAAAAGAAAAGCACAAACAAACAAAAGACACAAATGAACCTACAAAACTGAGACAGATTCAAAGGCAGAGAACAAACTCATGGTCACCAGGGGGTAAAGCGGGTGGGAAGGGACACACTGGGAATTCGAGATTTGCAGATACTAACTACTATATGTAAAACAGACAAACAACAAGTTTCTCCTGTACAGCACAGGGAGCTATATTCACCGTCTTGCAGTAACTCATAATGAAAACGAATCCAAAAAGGAACATATGTCTGTGTATGTATGACTGAAGCATGGTGCTGTACGCCAGACATTGACACAACACTGTGAACTGACTGTATGTCAATTAAAAAAAAAGAGAGAGAGAGAAAAGAGAAAGTATAAATGAAGGAATGAAGGAATCTCTTCTTCAGGGACTGGCCTCGTATTTCCATGAGGGACCCAGGGACTCAGTAACCACTTATTTCAGGAGTTCCTTAATAATCATTCCAGACCAATCCACAAAATAGATTTTTTTGGTGGTGAAACAGTTTTTTAAATAATGTATTTTTTTTCTGATCTTTAAAAAGTTATAAGATATATTGTTACTTAACCAAGCATGGTTAAGAAATTTACGATCTTCTTAAAAGATAAAGAATTGAAAAAATAAAAGTATAAAGATGAATATAAAAATTCGATTTACTCTTATCACACAGAGATACTTAGCAGTAACATTTTGATATATTTCCTTGTAGGCTTTTTTCCCATCAGGGTATAACCCAGCCTTCTTTCCTATGGGATGGCACTATGCCAGCCCATATCCCTTGTAATTTAGATGCAAATGTTATACACAGATAAATTTAATGTTTTAAAAAATATTATATCATCATCTTCCCATTGTTTTTTAAAATGATTCCAAAAGGATATTTTACAGACATACTTTCATTCTCTCCTTCTATTGGACATACACATTATTTCTATTTTTAATTCTTTTAAGTAACACCTCAGTAAACAACTTTGTACATATATTTCTGACCAAATCTCTATTTTTTTTTAGAATAGCTTTCCAAGTCAGAGTATATATGTCAGTTTCCTCATTTATAAAATGGAAGATTAAAATACCTGCTTAATGGAGTCATTAGGAAGATTAAATGAGACAATGCTTAGGAACCGTTTACACAACCTGCTTGGTGCATAGTGGATACTCAGTAAATATTTAATCCATTATTTTTGCAACCTCTTAAAGGCTTGATATGTACCAAATACATTTCCCACATGATTTTCAATTTATAACTCTCTCTGCCTTATTTCACTGCATCCCCACTGGGCCTAACTGCTTAAAACTTTTTCGTCCTTCCCGTTTTGCTGGGATATAACTGACACGCAGCACTGTGTAAATTTAAGGTGGACAACATAATGATTTGACTTTCATGCATCATGGAACGGTTACCACAATAGAGTTAATGTAAACCTGTTTTCATTTGGCTAGCTATCTTAAGAAAACTACTGATGGATAAAGTATTCAAAATGGCAGAATCGAGTGTCAGCCAAGGCCATTTGGAAAGCTAACATGGAACCCAAAATGTCATTCTGTCCTGAGTCACCACTATGGTCTCGTTACTACAGAAATACAACAGCCGAGGTCAGGCTGGGTGTGGCCCTGTTGAATGGGGACCCCTCTGCCTTCTTCGGTTCTGAGTCTCTGAGTCACACACCTGTCACACCGCCTCTGACAACCTGACGCAGCTGGCGAAGCGGGGTTTGTGGTTAAAGGGCCAGTGCCCGCCCTCCACCACAGGGCTGCCGCTGCTGTCTGCTACATCCTGTGTCCCAAGCAGCACGGTTTTTGTTTTTGAGCTTCCTGGCCTCTCCCTTCAGCACTGTTTTCCTCAACAGCAGTGG